CAGTAACTAAAACAAGGAAATGGTTAGAGCAATGTAATGGCTAAGCAAATCACTACAATTTGGGAACTCAATGTAATGACTTTGTGGAATGCTGAACAACAAGCTTCTGCTCCTGTTCCAACAGCACAAAAGCAGCCTGCATTGGATTGACTGGTAGTGCGGCAACATCATTTCCAGGCCTTTGAATACCCAACAAAACGTGGAAGTATCCGTGTTGCAGCCCCAAACATTAGCTGAAGCTTATCAGCAAGATCAATTGGAAATGAGTTTGAGGAGTGCAGATGGTGATGTATTGACTACACCTGTTCCAATCACAGAAGACAAGGCTGAAAATGGTGACTCAGTTGTATTCAAGTTGTTGAAGACAAATGAAAATTTCATATATGGTAATGGTAATGATGCATATGATAAGTGTGATTTGCTCGTTGACAATGGTTGTGATTTGGGCATTTTTTGTTCTCACTCTGCTGAGGAAAAGGTGGGTCCAAGTACAGCTGAGGGGAAATTCTCTAATTCACCGGCACCTTGTCAAGAGGAAGAGGTGGTTCCTTGTGTAGTCAAGGAACCAAACAAGGGTAAGAACATGGAAAATGGCTCGAGTGGGATTTCTGCTTTCCAAACTGTGAGTGTGGCAGCTGTGAGTGTTGAGAATGTTTGTGAATTGAGCATTCCTTGTTCTCGCTCTGCTTTATCGGGGGAAAAGCCTACTGAAATATTGAACCAAATCAGTTCCAGTACAATCTCATTTAGGTTCATCTCTTCCTTCTGGGTCGGCTGGCCCTAATTGGTACCTGCAACTGGGTATCACGTCTCTGCGACCGTTCCTGTGGTATCCATTCTAGAGTTTGAACCTCTTCTTCATCCAGCCTTCCTGGTGAGGGATAGACTGTTAGTGGCTACTGACCCTCAGGAAATGGAAGTAATCACTACAAGAACTCAGTTTGGGGGAGTGGAATTGAATCAAGCCTTCATGAGCGATGATAGCACAACATTTAGGGTGGTTACGAAACCACATTGGGACTCTCCTATTGGAGTTTCAGTGACGGGTAACGTGCGAAGGCATTATGGATATAAAGTTTATCCCACTTACTATGTGTTAGAAACCGATTTCTGTAGGATTTCTTTATTTATTAATATAATTATTATTAGGGTAATTATCAATAAGGTTAGTAGTCATTTAATAGAATTAGGTTTATTGTTAGGGTTTTCCACTATTTCCTATATATATGTACTTTGGGCTTCCATTCAGAATCAATAAGAAGCATATTAAGAAAATCCCTAAACCCTATTCTCTCCCAAATCCTCTCAACTTCTCTTCTCTCCCTAATCCGGCCGCCGGCCATTCTCTTCTACTCTTCCCCAAATTCTACTTCTTAATCCCTAATTCTATTCTTCAAATCCCTAAATCCCAATTATCAAACCCGTTAGAAACTTTGTTTCTAACATTTGGTATCAGAGCCCGGTTCGAGAATTGAGTTCACCACAACTCTCAACCGGGGACGATTTCTACAACTAGTTCGACGATGAGCTCTTCAAAGCTCTCGAACTTGTCGTGGGCAGAGCTGCGTGACCGGGATCGCCACATCGGACGCCGTTGGAGCTCCGAAGAGTCGCCGACCGTGCAAGCAGAGACGGTGACCCGAATCTCCGACAGCGAGCAACCACCAACGTCCGCCGAGGCCGACGAAGCGGTGGAAGTCACCGTCGGAGGGAGCGACACGGAACCAACGATGAAGGAGAAAGGCGGCGACATCGCCTCTTCTTGGGCTATTCAGGAACCCAGCTGGGTAATCCGTTCGACGATCGCGAAGGGAGAAGATGCGCCGTGGTCGCCGGCAGCTGCAGTCACGGCGACGGGAACCAGGCAGGTTGTGGTCTCGCCGTCGGGAATGGAGGAGAAGAAGGTTCCGCCGGAGCCGCGTTTGGGTAAGCGAGAGCTGAGGACGGCGACGAGTTCGGGTCAGCCGGCGTGCCATCAGCTGGGCGGCTCGCCGCCGGGAGATGATTCGGCGACGGAGTCACGCCGGCCACCGTGCCGTCGGACGGGATGCTCTTCACCGGGAAAGGAGCGGCCGAAGCGAGAGATAATGAAGAAGGAAGGCGACGCCCTTCCTATCACAAACCCTAGAGCAGCTTGGCACAACTTGGGCCAAGAGGAACGTCGGATGGGGTTTGCTGTGGACCTGGAGGACGGGCAGAGCGGGCTAGGTGGTGAGGGGCCCATTGCGGCCTGGTTGGTTCATGTTTCCAGCGAGCTCAGTCATGGGCCAAGACAGGTGGAATTAAAAGAGTTCCAAAATAATAATGGGCCGAGTTCACAAGGCAGGTTTGGACCCGAAATAGGCTATCTTCTTGGATTATGGTTGAATGGGCTGGATTTAAAAAAACAAGGAGATGGGTTGCCACTACAAGGAATAGAGGGTGGGTTTTCAAGAGAGCAAAACTCAAAATTAATGGAAGAAGCAACAATTCAGAGTTATGGGCTTGTTCCAAGAAAAGTGTATGAAGATCTTGGTGAAATGGTACTCAAGGATGAGTTCTTGAACAAACACGAATTGTTGGATTCCTTGAGTTGTGGAAGTATGAGGCCAACCAAAGCGGAGCTGGCAAAGTTCGAATGTGTCAAGGAAGCGAATATTGGACCCATGCAAGTGAAGGTTGAAGAAAAGGACCAGCCCAAGAAGGTTGGTGGAAGAAGCCCAATATTGAAGTTGGAGCACGATTGGAAGAAACGGAAGCGCAAGAAATGGAGTAGTCAACGTGCACATTGCGTGAGAAGGAAGGAGGAGTGGGTCAAGTGGATCAACCTTGATGGCAAGGTTGGTCTGAAGGGGGAGGAGATGTTAGAAACCGATTTCTGTAGGGTTTCTTTATTTATTAATATAATTATTATTAGGGTAATTATCAATAAGGTTAGTAGTCATTTAATAGAATTAGGTTTATTGTTAGGGTTTTCCACTATTTCCTATATATATGTACTTTGGGCTTCCATTCAGAATCAATAAGAAGCATATTAAGAAAATCCCTAAACCCTATTCTCTCCCAAATCCTCTCAACTTCTCTTCTCTCCCTAATCCGGCCGCCGGCCATTCTCTTCTACTCTTCCCCAAATTCTACTTCTTAATCCCTAATTCTATTCTTCAAATCCCTAAATCCCAATTATCAAACCCGTTAGAACTTTGTTTCTAACACTATGGTCCTTGTGTAAGCTCTTGTGGTAGGGGCAGCTGTCCTAATTTCAAAGAACCATACAAGGATGACGAAACGTGAATTGAGTGGGTTGTAATTGTTGCAATAGGAGTTGGATGGAAGTATGCAACACCTCTGAGTTCTGTTCCTGGAATTGTTGTTGTGGTTGTTACTTCTCTGGGCAGGGGAAGACGTCCTGGCTTCAAAGAGCCCTATAAGGACTGTATTGTTACTTGGGTAATTGGTAATTCCAGAACAATTGTTATGGTGGAGTGCCTGCTTCTGGGCTGTTGATAGTTGTGTGGTTAAGAGTTGCTTGCTGGTCATGATGCAGCATTTCATCCTTGCACCAAAGGAGACATCACAGATTGCATCCCTTACCAAGTTCAGTTGAAGAAGTGTTCGGTGTTCATGTCATTACCTTACTGTTACAGATTCAGTTCATTTCCTTTGTTTGAGTCCATTCATTGTTACCTTGTATGTTGGTTTTCATTGGTTACGGATTTGGGGACAAGACTGTTCTCAAGGGGTTGGGAGCTGTAATGACCGAATGTTTGGAAGGAGCTACTTGTAAACAGTATAAACACAAGGACTACTTTAGATATTTGTAACAACTATAAAAGGCTGGTTTGTTGTACTGTAGAAGGCAAGTTTTAACAGAAACACATTTTCCCAATCTATCTTCTGCTCTCTCCCTCGTCTCTATCCTCTGTCTCTGTTCTTTCTCCTCTTATTTTCTTCTCCAATTCCCAACTCTCTTCTCAAACCCTTCTCCTCTTCTCTTCAATTCCAGTTTCCTATTCAGAATTCGCCAAGAATCCAATTCCTTCTACCCAGGGTGTCACACCAATCAATAAAATTTATGTTGGCTTGATGTCAAGATTCAAACTAATAATGTGGTGAACATTATCCACGAACCATGCACTTTGAGTTAATCAAAGCTTCACTCAAAATCCATAGGTTATCACGAGTCCTTTAATGAAAGAATCGAGGGGTAAAATTATTTTAAATTTGACCAAGTCAAGGAATTTAACATATTCAACAACAAGATTTAAATTTTAATTTGTAATGCACATGATTTAAAAAAACTTAATTGGTGGAATTTCTTAATCTCAATTGTCTCCTTGAAGAACCATTTTTTAATTTATTGCTAGAAAAACAAAACTAACATAATTCCCTTTTCATAAAACATTGAAGAACATTATATCAATGGTTCCCTCGATTTAAATTCAAATCACTTCAGCGTTCATCAAATTTTAGATTCCTTCATTCGAAGAAGGCATAAAAATGAAAAATACCTTGCTCTTAACTTGTAGAATGTAAATGAGTTTCCTCTAAAATGCATACACATGAAATATAATCAGAATTACCACAAAATATGTTTTATGTGAGTAAAAGTCCAAACAAAAACGAAAAATATGCATTCAGCTCATCCAATATTAAAATTGCCCTATGAATTATGATAATTTTCAAATGCCCACATGTTTTATGTGAGTGATCATACCGCTTGTTTTCTGCCTGAAGATCCAAATTCAAATATTAGGACGATGCTTATTTTCACCCCTCCCCTCTAGTAGCATCAATATAAAACAAACCACGTTTGTGAGTTGTGACAAATGAAAACCCCAAACCAAGCCCATGTGTTTTCAGTTACCACATTTTATGACCAAATTTTATACCTTGAAATCAAATTTCATTCAATGGTCTGGAGCGTGCAATTGTCCGGGCCTATCTCATCACCGTGACTCAATTGGGGAAACGCATCTTCGGATAAGGACTGGACCATCATTTTTTATCCAATTTAATAGTTTGGTACATCCAAAGGTCCATTTGCAAAATAACAAGACCTAGACCAGAGTGCATCGTATTCAGTTCGGGATGTTCCAATTCAAACATCAATTTGATCCGAAACAATAATGAACAAACCGTTGGACACCCCAAACGACCCGTAGATAAACCGATACATATGCCGAGCCACCCAATTCAGACATTCTTCTCTCAGCAATCTCTGATGGTACAATTCTCAGTCCTTCCTCTCTTCAAATAGGGAAACAGTGGGACTCAAACCACAAAAATCATATAGGGAAACAGTGGTACTCAAACCAAATGCCAAGATCTACTATCAAAAACTTACACCAGAACTACATCGATGGTAAGAAAACAATCATACCTCAACCTTCCCAGGCGACTTATAATATATGCTAAAGAGTAAAGAGTCTAATTACATGTCAGGATAGGCCAAAAGGGTTGACGTGATCAAACTTCTCTAGTCATTCTGTACACAGACCGCCTTTCGCATTTCTGCTAAGTGCATATGTAAGAATATTTTCTTCAGCTCCTCTCCTGTGTCATCGAGATTTCCGGTGTGTATTGTAGTTTACTAGTTCCATTTTGCAATCAAAGTATGTCCAGCCAAACCCTTCCGAACAAATCCATGCCCTTGTAATGCTCCCTTAGATGGATAAAATCCTAAACATTACTCTTTCCATGCAGGCCGACAAAAGGGGTTATATCTCATCTTTCCAATCGACCATTCGCGCCTTGGATGTGCCGACCCTGTCTGCTTTGTATAGCCCCATTAGCCCAAGCTGTACCAGACCATCCTTCTTACTACAACTTATTCTCATCATCTCTTGGGCTTTTCGACTGACCATGACAAACCGGCAAACATCTTGCGCCTCTGGGCAGGATTATAATAGGAGGGGTCAAACACGGCAGCACGAACCAAGTTGCTGGATTGCAAAGACAATAGAACCCATCACAGCCAACAAAAATCACTGCCTTTCTGACCTCTCTCAACCGTTGTAGTGAATTTTCTGGTTCTGGGACCCCTGCCCCTGATGGGGCTGCTGTTGTTGTGGTGCCTGTAAATTGGGTGGCTGAGTGTTGTAGTGGCCGAAGGGCTGGGAGTAGAGCGAGTTCATATAACCCTGCATAGGTCAAGGAACTAACTTTAGCAAAATATGGTACACATAAGTACCATAAGCAATTTAAACAATATTACCACATTTGAAATTCAGGTAAAAAAAATAGCTTTGAAGTAGATAAGAACACTATCAGAAGTCAAGCAACCAATTTAATTCATTAATATACATGCTAAAATGCGCTTCATGATTTAAACGCTCAAGGTACGTGCATGAGTTATATGCAACATCACATATGTTTCCAGAGCAGCAGAGTTATGAACCTGAGACTGAAGTGAATTTGGATTAGCCATATTGAAATGGCTTTGTGACGCTTCATCCTGCGAGGGATCATTCATGCCGACCTGAGTGAACAGCCCTTGTGTTGCATGACCCATGTAGTCCTGTTAACATCCAAATATTGTCAGGAAAAAAGTCAGCATAAAATAAAACTAAAGAGAGCTGATATTGCAGAAGGATGAAAAACCTGAGACATGAAGTCATTTCCAGAACCAAAACGAGAATATCCAGCTTGTGAATTCTGATTCAGAAAATTGCCAGGATATCCAGCTTGTCCTCCTTGTGTAACATAATCAACAGCATACCCACTTTGGGAAGCCTACAAACAAACAAGCATTTCATCTGATAAGCTTGCAGAAACCACAAGACTATATACAACATCACAAACAATGCAACAGCTCATATCGTGCCGCAGGTACCTGGGTGGAATTGTCAAAAAAAAAAATTACCTGGGTGGAGAAGTCTGTAACATTGTAAGGCACATGTGATCCCTGGCTTTTAAAGTCGTCACCTAAGAAATCCTGATGAATGCCGAATAGAGGATTACAGCTGTGAAATAAGAAAAGCAGTGCTAAAAAGGAACATTAAACATACCTGAGACATTCCACTCATTGAAAAACCATCACGAAACGACTGGCTTGCCCCTTGAACTGGCATCTGTAATGTATTAACACTCCAACAATTAATAATAAGTACCATGCAGAAAGCTGAAAAGGCCATGAAAAAGGGGCATTGACAACATAACGTACATTGTTCACAAATCCAGGTTGAGATAATGGGCCACCAACAGAAGGCTGGCTGTTGGGATTCTCCAAACCAGGGAAGTTAAAGTTCGGTCCAATATTCCCAACTGCCTGCTGATTGGTCTGGTGTGCAAGATGACTACCAATAGGAGCAGTGGTACTTCCACGCCCAGCCCCAAAACCACGACTTCCTGGTGCAGGTACATGAGGAACAGCTCCAACAGGTCCGTGCACAGCACCACGTGATGGGATCGCATATGGTTGCGGAGGCGGCGGGCCATGGAATGTTGGCATGGGGACTCGTGGCACTGGAAATCCATTTGGATGCACACCAGGCTTGTGAGCACCATTAGCTGGCCCACCTGACATGTGTGAACCAGCAAGTGTAAGGGGTTATAGGAGTCAGGATCAGAAACAGGGGATGTTGCTAGAATTCACCAGCAAAGGAAAAGCAGCGCTAAAGCTATGGGAACAGTCACAATTAGGTGGCATAAACCAGCCAACTTAAATACATCCACCCCAACCCATGGAATTGGTAGGTTGATGGGTTTCTGTCATATTACCATTCAGTACCCAAAATTGTGTCATAAACTTTAGCACCTAACTTCCCAGATGTTCACAAAATATGGAGTCAGCGTACAATTTTGTAGCGGAATAATGAGTTCTACATTTAAATCCATCCCATGAACCCACAAACTTATTCTAGCCCAACAACCCAACCTACATTTGTCGCGTCTCAATATGCCCCACCTCATTAGAATAAACCGGTAATCCTAACATGGAAGTCTATAATTTCTATAAAGTGAATCAATTCACGAAGAATACCTCTGGCACGCCCGCTTCTTCTGTCAGCATTTGGAACACTGGATACACCAGATCCCAGACCATCATTGGGCAACACTCCAGGTCCAGCCCCAAAGAAAAGTCTTCTGTCGTTATATATCTGTTTACAATGTGAAAAACAGAAGAATAACAATTAATTAAAACAGAATATATATACAAATGGATTCCTCACTGATAACAAACAGCTAACTAATGATAAAATGCCAGTCTACCACACCTTTTTAGGTTTCTGAAACTGAACCATACTCTGCTTCAGGTTATTAAGAGGTCCCTCAACCAAACATTCATGTTCCTGACGGGACACATATGGAGAATAAACAGCTATGAGTTGGTACAACAACATAGAAAGCAACAAATAATATTATACATCACAGTAACAACTACTGATAATATCCAAGCCTAACACTACAGGTTAGCAGAAAAAATACCTTGTAGTGTGTCAACAAACCATTCCACAACGGCTGTTTGCTAAGGACTTTTGGGTTGCCCAGTATCACGATGCCGTATCGTGCACGAGTAAGAGCTACATTAAGCCTCCTAGGATCATTAAGAAACCCAATACCCTGAAAACATACAAGGAGATGATCCATTAAATGGAAATGCACCACTTTCTTATTTCAAGACAATTAAAAGAACATGTATGCGAATGAGTGAGAGCAACACTGGGCTAAACAAACCAACCTGGTGTTCATTGCTCCTAACGCAAGATAAAATTATATAATCCTTTTCCCTGCCTTGAAATGAATCAACACTAGCAACCTGTAGAAACATCACTTAAATTTATGGGAGTAACTTCAAGAAAAACTACCATATCGGAAATCTGAAACCTGAATTCTACCTCAATTTCCTTGTAAAGCTGCTGCCTAAGAGCACCATTTCTGGACATATAGTTCACAATATATGCCCTCTGGCCTTCATATGGTGTTATCACCCCAATCTAAAAAAAACTATTAGAATACAGTACCACAGAGTACAAAATCAACGATAAGATTCAGAGAGAGCAGCCACCTGACTAGGGATTACACCACTTCTCAAGAAAGTAGTTACGATCTTCTCAACATTTGCAGCCTCTGTACGATTCAGATAGGAGGTTCCACTAGCACTTATCTCCTCTTGCCCCATCTAAAGAAGAGCAATCTAGTTACAAACACAACTTTGGAATAAAATACAGAAAAGCATAAAAATGAGGACATCATTGGTACAACAATCGAAGTGATTTTCAAAGGTTTTTTTAGAAAGATCAATTATTGTTTTCATGTCAGTAAACAGCAAATCAACATAATCGTATTACTATAGAGCTATGTACCTGGACATAAAAGAACATGGGACGATTAGGCACAGGCCAGGGGAAATCAATGCCTGTTGTTTGCCTCTCATTTACAGTAACCCCATTTTGCAGGGTGCCTTCATAAAAGCTGTTAGATGGGAACTCTGAAAGAGCCGGGTGCATTCGATATTGAACCTGAAAGAGGGAAATCATCAGATAATGTCTTTACATAAACATGTAAAGAGAAAAGGTCTGAAATTACAGCAGCAAAGCAAGTGATTAAAACATGTACAACCTGCATGCCAGCCTCCACACAATTGTACTTATTGGCATGTTAGATATTTATATCACAGCACAAAGAACCACAACTACCAAGGCCAACCGATATGCATGTGTTTCCAATCATCCTAAAAAATGCAGATAGCTAAACGGAAGACACTGGAAGAAGATTCAAAAGATACGCCATACTTCAAAGAGCATGCAATCAGCTCGAAAGTTGTGATCAATTACAAATATTGTAGAAAGGCCCAACATAAATGCAGGTCAACCTCCTAGAATTTCAAATTTTCATCAACGCAAGAACTTCCTCGAAATAGTAAGTCACAGATTCAGCTATTAAAAAATCATACCATGCATCGTGTAGCAGAGAAGAAATCAGCCAGATTGCATTTCGACTTCTACATTAGATGTATCGAGCAAAAGCCCTTACAGTCCAGGAGGCGCAATATAAACTTAAAGCTAACTTAATATATGCATATAAATAGGGGAAAATCCAAACCAACCTGCAGCCTAATTGGTTTTACTCCAAGTAAGACGAGGCGTTCAAATAGAGACTGTGCCAGTCCAGCTCGAGCTGCTTTCTTGCACATAATAACAGGACCAAGTTGACAGTGGTCGCCAACAAGTATAACCTAAACAAAAAAATTAGTCAGAACAAGAAGCACGAGCATTCAACCGATTCCAACTTCAATAGATATGGCATATACCTGCTTTGCCCCAAGAACTAAAGGAATTAGGCACTCAGGTTCAGTCGATTGAGTGGACTCGTCAATAAGTACCTAGACAACACAAAGGATGTAAGCATCTTCATTATAATTATAACAATGGATGAAAGTGCAGACAATATGCATCTCTACCTGGCGGAACCTAAAATTTGCAAGTCGAGGGTCTCCAGCACCAACACACGTGCAACATATGACATCAGCACTCTGAGATATCTCCCTCTCTGTAGCTCGCTTCAGAGCCTTGTACTTCTTCTCATCACTGCTGGAAAGCTCACCTGTATGCATAACAATATACAAGGAGACCAAAGAAAGCTCAATGCACGGTAGCAGAACTTTCCAGTGACAATTCAGCAGCAGCTCATAAAATCTTATAATTAGTTCAAATGAGCAAACACTGACAAAGAAAGACAAGGCCCTTCCTACGCCTAAGCAAATATCATGCTAAGCATCAAAGTTACCAAAGAGACTGCATTTAGAAACAATTTGCGAAAGAAAAGAGAAACTGCAAACCTTGTTCATCTTTTAGCTGTTGCAACTTGTGAAGTTCACTCTTTTCGGAAGTATCAAGATGTCTAACCTGAAGTTATATAACGAGTACCACAATTTTTTGACCAACAAGGCTCAATAAAAAGAAAATTTTGTTAATAAACAAGCAAGTAAGGATCATTTAACTGACCTGATAGTGAAGAGTCAGGTGCTCAACAGGAGAGCTAACAGCTTCCCTCGACTTGGCACAAATGCGAACAACCTTCATAGTCAAGAGAAATTTTGGGGGAAATTGGTTTAACAATGAGTAACCATGCAACAACTTAATTAACCACCAAAACCAGGTCCAATGTACTGTTGTGAACTACAAGTACCACAGAAATTGAAACTAATACCAAAACCTAATGTATACTGCACAAACATTCTATCATACTTCCGAAAGAGTAACCAAGGATGAACTTACCTTCAAGCCAGTGGCACTTATCTTCTCCGCTAGTTGGTCTACAGCCACATTACTTGGTGCACATACCAACACCTAATTTAGAAATGTTAACAAGACAGGTATTGCTATCCGAGACAAAAAATTATGAAATCAATTGAAATGCCTTCACACCTGCCCCTGGCCTTGTTTGGCCATATGATAGACAATTGCAGCAGAAGTAACAGTTTTTCCAGTGCCGGGAGGACCTTGAATCAAACTAATAGGCCGCTGGAGGACATTCTTCACGGCATATACCTGTAGGACAGGCAGGTGTTACTACTCAACAAAACACAAGTACACAACCAAATTGCAGATGAAGCAACAATACAGTCATTAACATCTTAGAACCACCAAATAAATCACAGCATCATACTGAATGACATCTAAGTCATGATATTGTATGGTAAAGAGAGTTTTGGATCAATCTTTACCACAATATCAGTCCCTCACCTTCTCGTTAAGAAAGTCAACTCAATAAAATGAGATCCTACTATAAGAATAGAACTCAAGAGTGACAAGCACAAACACAGGGATCAATCAACCACAACAGTCTCTTTGGTGTTCCCCTGGTAGCCTAAGAAAAACATGTATTGAAGAAAAGAATATGACATGCAGAGCCAGAATGTTTGCAGAAAACATAGCAGGTACTTCATAAAATGCAGTTAATGTTTCTTTCCTTTTAAAAAATGAAGCTAACTTGAAGGACCCAAGAGCACATGTATTGACCACCAATCACTATACCTGGGATGCATTCAGTTCTGGAAGCCCAGGCGCACCAAACCGCCGCGGCATTGCGTTGCGAACCATATGATTTTCAACCTCATGTCCCAACAAATGATGGTATATGTACCTGTGAGTTAAAGAAATTTATTATAACTCAAACCAAATATTCACACCCTGCTGCATAAAGGACAAGTGAACACTTGCATCCAGGGAGTAAAAAGTAGACGAAAAAACAGACACTTTATAGTCACTACTTCATGTAAGCCAAGATTCGGAGGAAGATAAATATCTTCTCCATAGAGCAATGTTTACTTTCATCGTATTTTATGTCTCTAAACCAGCCACAATAATCTTCATATTAGACCAAGTTTGACCAGTGGTTCCAAGTGCAACGATTATTGCACTTAAAAAAATCCGATGCATTTCTTCCTACACTAAGCCAATTGGTTCCAGCATTTGAAGGGGACACAAAAACAGCAAAACCATGACATCTACCCTAAAATAAGAGGATCAGTTAAACACAAGAGAACTGCATATACAACTGACCCGCTGACACTTGTTTCATCCACAGCAAATGTCTTCATTGCACCCTGCATTCGATCAAAACTTGTACTCTTCCACACAAAATCAACACTAAGACCATGGTTCACATCAATAGGAACACCCTGCACATGCCAGCAGCATTAGCATCACCTTCACCTACAGCAACCCAGAACCATTAACTAAGCACAGGAAAATCACCACCTGACTAGCACGAAGCTCAAGAGCCACTTCCTCTTGTGCAGTTAGCTTTATCTGAAAAGAGAACAAACATATGAATTCTACCTTGTATAAGTAAAAATGGACATGTGGCAAGGGACTAGCAAATTAACTAAGAGAAACTGTCTTAGAGCACCAATAGGAACATGAAGGACTTCATAAGCTAAACAAAAATGTGCTAGGATATTGGTTGTACCACATGCCCAACAGACTGCCAGGCTGGATGAGCCGCATCTCCAGAGTAACGCAGCCTTAGTTCATCACCAGGCACAAGACGCAACTCATTGTCCTCCTAAATCATTTAAATAACACAATCAGCTTTTATCATACACTTTTGCACCCTCACTAACCACAACAACTAGAATGAGAAGGAACACTTCCACAAAGAATCACCAAAAAAAAAATTGAATCAAGAGGACCACCTTTGGGAAAACAAAATAAGCTACACGCTTCTTGTTAAGCCCTATATCCCATCGAACAGTGAGATTATCCTTGCTCTGTGACTCCTTCATCATCTATAAAAAGAGAAGGCAAAATAAGATACTGTCAACATTGAAGAGAACTTTGTCACTGGGAGACAATCTCACACAAAGGCAGGTTGCAAAACGAATAACAAAGAGGATGACCATGATGAATACCTTATCGTAGTCAGCTTCAAGCTTAATAAGTGGGGCAAATACATTTTGGTACTGCATGACAAACATAAATCACCAACTCATTCACCATCAATAACATATTGCAAAATCCAGACATACATCATTCAGAAGTACATGAAACATTACCTGGTATGCATCTTCATACTTCAGAGCTACTGGCTGGGGTTCATCATCAACACCAGGTTTCTCAAGATCTTCAAGGGCGGCATCAGGATTGCTTTTCCAGAGTTCTTCTATCTTATTTATTTGCTGTGCACTAATCTGGCGTGCCCGCAACTGCTCTTGCTCAGAAGGAATCTGTAGAATAGAAATTCTAAGGACATCCTTGGAACTTGGATGCTGTAGCAGAAACTAATTACTAACAGTCACAGGGAAATTTTTACCTTAACTAGCCACTGAAGGAAGCACCTGTCATCAATCAGGGGACACCACTGGCTGAGGTCCCAATTCATGTCCTTCAAAGCGTTAACATTCAAGCATGGCTCTCTACAGAGGAGAACGACGACGCTCTCTGTCTTGGCTGATATAAAACCAAGAAGGAACACATTGCGACATCCACAGTTGTAGCATTCAAGAATAGTTTCTCCCAAAGGACTGTCTTTATGGAGACAGACTTCCTTGTGTTTTGCTCGAACCTGAAACACGATTCCAAGTATTTAGCTATTTAAAATATATCAACCTATCAACAAGCAGAGCACAGCAAAAGCTATAATTTCCATCTGGGATTAAAAAAAAAACTCTGTAACTGGTCCCAAGGAAACAGAAAACATAACTAAACCTAAATAGAAGTAGCTAATCATGCATTTACAACTTTCCACATCTATCTAGTGTGCTTATCTTCACAATGTAGGTTTGCTTAAGAGCTTGAGGTCAACGAATACTGCCAATCAAGCAATTAAGTTGGCAGAACCTATAAAACTTGATGCTCCTTAGAATCATCTCATGTCCCTCCTTTGAGAGAGGGTTTAGGAGGGGAAAAAATAGTATAGATAATCGAACTGGTTCATCAATTTCTCCTAGATTAGACATTTAGAAGTATCTACACACTGTCACATGCATCTGAGACCAGAACCCACATTTCCCTCTCTCAGGTCACAAAAGCCACTAGAAATAAACTAAAATAACCTTAGAAATAGACAACTTAAAACCTTAGATTCATCACAGAAGCCATTCACTCAAACCCTCCCCAAACCCACTTCTCTTTGACAGTTTCTAAACACAACTCAACAGTATGAAATTGCAGCAAAGATTCTGAAATTAAGCAATTGTCAGCTGCCCACAGCACACAACCACTTCACCGCCCTCCAAAAATACGCAGGAGATAACAATAAAGAAGACGAGCATTCAGCCTCACCAGGTGATTGACGATATGAGAACCCGACGTATTCCCTCTCGAATTACAAAACCACTTCCTACACGACGGTACATTGCACCTCACTACGCAAGCAGGGTTGGAAACACCGCAATATCGGCAGGCATGCTCGGTGAAATCCCCCTTCCCGAACTCGTATGCGTCTTCGTCACCAGTCTCCTCGAAATTCAGCCCTCCCATTCCAGCCACCACGCCGTCCACTCCGTGGCCGCCGCGCGCAGCTGCCTTCGCAGCTGATGATGCCACAGGGGACGCGGCTTGGGAATCGGAATGGTGGTGATCGGACGACGACGAGGATGCTGCTGCCGTCGCTGCGCCTCGGTGGTCAACGACGACGGGGTCAGCCACCGCGGACGAGGAGGAAGCCGTCGCGGCGAGGGAGTCGGAAGGGGTGGGCCAGGCGACCGGGGAGCGGAATTCCGGGTAGTCAAACTCGGATTCGCCCTGGGTGTTGAATTCCAGGAACGTGTAGGCGTCGGTCCCCGTGTCCGGCTGCGAAGCCGTCTCGTAGAGGTTGCTCTGCTGGGAATCCATGGAAGCCAATTGCTTAGGGTTTTGCGGGAGATCGGAGAAGGAGAAATGGCAGGGTAGGGGGGAATATGAGCGGTTAGGGTTTGGGGAAGGGGGGGAAAATGAAAAGAGAAGGGGGGAAGGTTGGTTGGAGTTGTGGAGGGCCGAAGAAGGGGAAAAGAAAAGAGAGTGTGATCGGAATAGAAGTTGAGGAAAGAGAAAAAGCGAGTGTCCCACGCGAATAAAGAACCCGCGCGTGGTAAAATTTGTGAGAATCAGTGCCTTTGCTCCTAATCAAGGTTACCCATTTTAGTAGGGGTAATTGTACGGTTGGTCACTGGAATTAGTAAAAATGTTCAAATTTAATCACTAAAAATATTTAATTTCATTATTGGTCACTAAAATTAGTTAAATAGTTCAAGTTTGGTCACTCTCCGTCCAAGTCCGTTAACTTTTGCTGATGTGGCAGTCAACTTTCAAAGTTGACTGTTAAATGTGTGACGTGGCAATTAAAAATATTTTGAAAAATAACATTTAATCATTAACATTTTCCACATCATTTCCAACTATTAAAAAATAAAAATGAACTTAACACGTGCAGACAGTAATAAAAAGGATCAGTAGCAAAGCTTAGGGATTTTCAAAGAATGAGATTTGAGAACGATGGAGAGGGGAGAACGAAATATAAACACAAATAGATTTCTCTTCCATCTCTTACTATTCAAATCGAGAGACACGTTGCAGAATTGATGTCCTAAAGAAAATTAGCAGCCCTCCGGCGCCCGATCCAGTGGAAGCCATGGACGGAAAGAAGTCACGATAGCGACGGAAAACGACGAGATCCGGGATTTGTCTGGGATGAGGGGCGGGAAGAAGGCCGGAATCGCAGTGGCTTCCCTTTCCCGCTCCAATGCAGCAATAGATCACCAGACATTGTTGATTTTTAACATGCGGGCACTCAAAGAAGACTCGTGGGTGCCGCACACACTTGCTTCCACGGCGACGTCGGATGAAGTTAGGACCCCGTTGATGGCGTCGGATTGGGTGCCCTTTTATATCAATTAACGATTTGCTTGGAGGAAAGAGACGTCACCATGGAGTAATTCTCCTTGTGGCGAAGCAAATGGTAGAGATGGCAAGAAGACGAGGAGGTATGAGACGAGAACCGAAGCCGTGGGGGCCATGGTTCCATTTTTCTGCATCTCCGCCAAGAAAAGGCAAGTTTGCTTCGTAATCTTCCAAAAAAATCATCTTGGAGCACGTCGGGGTTGAAGGCGAAGCAAGCAGTGGAGGTGGCGAAGAAGGCGGAGAAGAGGTTTTCGACTGAGTAATTAGAGTTATCTGAAAAGACCTAAATCCAAAAACAGTAATCAGGAGACAGTTTAGATTTTGGCATACTAGGAATTAAATTTTTACTTTTTAATGGTTGTAAAAATGATGTGGAAATTGAAAAGATTAAAGTTTTATTTTTTAAATATTTTTTAATTTCCACGTCATACATTTAACGGTCAATTGTTAGGGTTGACTGCCACATCAGCAAAAGTTAACAGACTTGGACGGAGAGTGACCAAACTTGAACTATTTAACTAATTTTAGTGACCAATAATGGAATTAAATATTTTTAGTGACCAAACATGAACCTTTTTAGTAATTCTAGTGACCAATCTTGCAATTTACCCCATTTTAGTACTATAAAAAAAAAGTCTTCGACCCATAAGCAAATTAGCAAAGGCCCGGTCTGTTGGCCGGAAAAATTTTGTTGAGAAATATGATATATAATAATGGATATAATAGATTATTTGAAATGTATGAAATGATAGTTTTCTATCTTAGTTATGCACATAACATTTTTGAAAGTTATCGAACTATGCATACTATATTTAGACTTTAGACCTTCATGAAAAGAGGAAAAAATATAATATAAGCATTACATATAATTATTGAATGAAAAAAATATATATAATTAATTGTCATTCAATACTTAATTAAACCATATAGTTGAATATTAGAGTTTGCTTCTCATAATACATACATAATCAACCTTTAGGATCAAAGAAAATGTCTCATAGAGTTTATTATGTCCTTTAAGTTTTTCCCAATAGAGAATTTTTTTTTTACCACATTGTTGGTAATGAATATGAAGTTGCTTGATTTGAAATATATGTGACATGATGCTAAAGTGCTAAACTGTCACTAATAGTTAGTTGGACAATGTGTTGTGTACGGACTTCCCAAATTATTCTCAGATCGCAGACATGTCTAACAACAAAGTAGTAATATTCATGCAGCAAATATTTTTTTTTCATGAAATAATTCAATAAATAAAAACGTATGAAAATAATATACTTAAAATATATGTTACTAATTAAGTTGATGAATGAGCGAGGGTATGAGTAGCATACATTTATTTTAAAAAGATAGAAGTTGCAAAGTGTCTTTTGGGTTGCATGAGATCGCATATTCTCATTATCGCTAACTGACTTATACTTTTTTGCCATAGATAGTTCAAAATGTGCCTTAAAATTTTTGTTTCCACCCATGTAAACAAAATTGTTTGAACCAAAGGATTGTAAAATCATATAGAAAAAGTTGGTAGTAGAGTATTTTATACTGAAGTCATAATTTAATTGTGGTTCAACCGTTACATATTGCTAATATCACCTATCGATTTAGCTTATGATGTGAAGTTGTATGGTCTAACCACAGGTACGTACGATCTTTCAGTACAAAATTTAAATAAAAAACCACTAAAATATTGACATTGTCAAATACCCCTTAAATATCAGAAATTACAATAATAGTATTGAGAAAAATCTTCCAAATGATAATATTGATTTAGTATTTTAAATTGAAATGAAAAAAATATGTCAAATATAATGTCATCTCCTAAAATAAATCAAAACTCAACAGAATAGGGCTAAGAATATCCACTAATCAAAACAGAAGGACAATTATTTCACACTACCTAATTTTTCACCTCTTTTAAATGTCCTCTCACTCTCTCATTGCCTTCCTCTTTGTTCTTCCATCTCTCTCTCAGCTTTGTATCTCACAACTCACCCCATTTTCCCTTCCTCTTTCTTCCCACCGCTTGGAATCGAGAGAAACTTATAAACATCTCAATTACTTCTCCAATTTTGCGTCGAAATGCTTTTTCTCGATTCACAATCAATAGTGTGAATCAGAGCACCTGAAACCTGGCGAATGATGGTCGCTTATTCATCGACGGAGCAAAGTAGCTTGATAGCTTGTGAATAAACTAATTATTAAAAGTGATAAAAAGCAGAACTCATTAAACCAATCGAGTGTATAGTTTGTTCATCGCTTAAAGCCTTAAAACCATTATATTTATATAAAGAATCAAAATGCATAATTAGGTTCATCTTCACTTTACATGTATTTGTCGTACAAATTCATTACACATAAAAAAGGTTTTGAACTGAAGCCATATTAAACTAAATCTCGTCTTATGATTATTGGATCCATGTCAGATTAGCAAAAGATCTAAGGTTATTGGTCAATCGGACTGAAAATTAATACTAATTTAAGAATTATATATCGCTTACAAAATGTTCAATACTCCAATTAAATATGCAATATTCAATATTCAAAGAAATTATATATGAGTTTCAACCCTTGCTCAAATGTTTTAGACAAAAAAAAATCCCCCACCCCACACACATTTGCAAAGAAATACTAAATCCCAATTTCTTGTTCACTTTACTTGCTACTAAAGTTATTGTTGACGTTGTTTGTTATTACTGCAAGCTGTAAAAAAGACTTTTCAGCTATGAAGTTAATCAAGAATGATTTTATAAATGAATTTTTAGTTGTATACATTGAAAAAGGTTTGAATCTCAAAATAAACAATGAATGTATTTTATAAACCTTTTAGAATATGAGCCGTCACACGTTGATGCGAGAAACTACTAATTAATTCATATTTTATATGTTATTTTTAGAATATTTTGTTTTATTTTTATCAAATGACGCATTTCTCCATAAAGCATGTGTTCACCAATATAGGCTGTGTGGTGCTCGCACTTGTGCGAGAGCCCTTGAAGTTCAAGTCTGGTACGAACCATGAAGCATTCATGCTTGTACATGGCCGATCTATATACATTGTCTTCATGGTATGCTCTAACTGTGTCATGCTAGCTCGACCATGTGTCTAGGTATAGTTATATGCATTATAATAATTAAGTTTCTACCTATTCACAACAGCAAGATAAAAACAGTCATAAATGCACTTAGTATACGATTTTGACTACCTGATGAAATACTACATTTGAATAAATTACAATTGATGTCATAAATAATAATTATACCTCTAAATCATACATAAAATATTTCAAACATCGCAAATATTAAGATTAAATTAATTATTATTAATAGTAAAAATTGTATAATGAGGTTAATTATGACTCATTTATATGTTCATGCCCTATAAATTGATCAACACATCTGATCCAAAACTTAAGAAATGAACATCACATTAAACTTGATATCGTCTCATTATTGTCGGGTCCATTCATGCCCGATTAGCAAGAGTTTAACGTTTAGCAGATAACCAGGCTAAAATTTTAGAGAACCAGTGACCTATAGTTTGTACAAAAATATTATTGTTTCGTATTACTTCTGAAAATTCATATTAATTTAAAGAATTCTACATCGCTTTTGCATATTCAATACTGCAGTTCGATATGCAATATTTCAAGCAATAAAATTTATGTTGCAATTTTAAGATTACCCTTCATTTTATAGGTTATAAAAATTATAAATCACATATTAAACTTTGCTTTTCAGAAAAATGATCATACTCGTCACAAAGGTCCATGTTTTTGTTAACTTCTTTATTTTGTTTGAACTAAACAATACATACAATTTATGGTAAATACAATATATTAACCACAACTATTATGAAGCGGGGAATTATAGCCACAACTAAGAAATTCAAATTCTTAGTCAAACGTTAACTCTCTGTTAACAATTCTGTTAATAATGCTGACTAAACTTTTATGTTTTAAAATTATAAATTAAAAGCAGTCTGACGTGGTTGCTGCCGTGGTCGATGACGTGGCCTTCTCCGTTAAAAATTCAATAATAGTAACGGTCAGTTAGCCATATCTAGACTCGCAACAATAATTATGGCTAATAATTTGAATTTACATAGTTGTGGCTGTAATTCCCCGCTTCATAATAGTTGTGGCTAATATATTGTATTTACCCTACAATTTAATATTAATGTTTGAATCAATACTACTTTAGTTCTGATTTCAGAAATAATTTCTTTCTATAAAATATAAATAGCTTAAGATAAAATATAAATATAGAAGCATCATCACCAAACATATTCCTATGGTTCAATCAAAGAAATAACAATAAATGAAATGTAGCGTAGTTGGTTATCATGCTCTTTCTTCATTCAAGTGACCAAGGTTCAAACTCTAATGCTAACATTTTTAATATATAAACATGAACTGGGTGCAATAACAAAAATAACCTTCCTAGAATCACTCTCAGGCCACATAATTTGAAATGGAAGAATTCCAACCCATGTTTTGCCATTATATATTTTGTAGAAGATGAGTTGCGGGCTACTACGCAACTTGTTGGCAGATTTGGCTGGAACGCAACAGAAGAATCTTTCAAGAATTGCATCTCCAGCCAACCGTCGTCTCTCTTAAAATTTTTAGAGCTATCTGTGAGTGGTTATCCGCCAATGGAAAGTTCAGCAGTGGTGATTCTGCTGTTTGACTTCTGTTCCTGCCAGGTCTGAGCAGGGGCTGTGGTTTGTTTCCCTGTCTGATTGTCGATTTTTGCGGGGTGCTCTCGTTCTGCTTTGACTCGGGAGGTTCAGGGCGGCTGACTTTGGTGTTCGTTGGATACTTACCTGTTCTCCTCCCTTGTCTTTCTTCTGGCTGTTTACGGCAGCTTGTGTTTTTTGTTCTTGTTTCTGTTTTTGCGGTTTGATGTTCCTTTTGGTTCTTTTGTCTTCTTCTCTTTGCACCGAGGTGGTCTGGTCCATCTAGTGCTCGATTGTCTGCTTTCCCTTTTGTTTGGTTTTGTTTTTTCGTCCCGAGATCAACGCTCGTGATCCTTGTTCCTCCCCTGTACTCTACCCTTTTTTTATTCAGTTAATGTTATCATCACCCTTATAAAAATGAATCAATCTAATTTGCCCACTAGCTTTGCACCCGGCCATTGCCCGGGAGGTTTTTTTGATTATTTATATATTTCGGCTCTTATAAATAAATAATTAATTTGTTGGAAATCTTTCATGTTTTTGTAATTTTATTTGTGAGATTTCATGTAAGTTTATGAAAACAGTCGCAATTATTATATTTATTGAATAGTTTTTGTGCATAACATAAACCAATACATCATTTTGAGTCAAAATACTCAAATTCCAATCAAGGAATATTGAATTGTCTGTTTCCTTTTATTATTTATATTAATTGATTTATTTATTGAGAATAGAAGAAAAAAAGTCAAATGGCCAAAAAAAGATATCGGAACCTTGGAGGAACAAAATGCCCAAATTTCAAAAAAATATATACATTTTTCGGTGAATTATAAATATATATTGGTCTGAGAAGAAAAAAAAGGTTAAGAACCTTAAAAAATAGAGGTAAAATTAAAAAAAATCTTGTAATTTCGCAAGATGTGGTTGTGGTTTTAAGACCGATGTGGAGGGGGTCTTTTACCCAAAGTCCTTTAATATATGTAAAGATAAAGATATAAATGTTTTAATTATTTATATTTTAGTAATTTATTTTGAATAATATATTTGTGGTTCTTGAAATAGGCTTATGAGATCATAAATAATTTCAAACTAATAGTCGACATTGAAGCTATGACTTTCATCCCTCGAATTAAATGATACATATTTCTAAGTCATTCAATTACTATTAGCAATTATTCACACACAACGAATTCTATTATATGCACATATCAAAATTCAAAAACACCTACTAATATATATCCCACACACATATAAAGTTTCAATTTTGCCTAATTTTTACTCATGCTCTCCTAGAGGATTTAAAATGTCTCGTTGTACGATTTCATGCTTAGATTTACCAATTAGAACACTCAAATTTATCATAGCTTGCATAAGATCAAATTCTAATTAAGTTTCAATTGCATATCGCAAGTGGGATGTATATTAGATTATTGGTTATAAAACTAACGCATCCCATGAAATATTATTCATGATTGGTGCAATAAACCAAAGTAACACGTTTATATCAGGATCGCTATAAAAATTTAATCCTGGTGATTATCTTTTACGATAACTAATTTAAATTTAAAAGATAAAAGGGTTTCATCAAAGGGCAGAATTTCGGCTTATGCAACAGCCGGTGATTCCCCATACCTCGTAATTTTCGTCTTTATCTTCATATTCTTTTTTTGTCCGCATACACAATTCTTCCTCCTCTGCTTCTACCAACGCTAGTGCTTCGTCGGTAGTTCTCACATATTTGCCGCGTTGTTTCAACCTTCCGCTTGGAATGAGTCGCCATATCTCTGTACCGGTCGTTCCGTCAGCCACTGTTATGGTCGTCAGCCAACCCTTCGATGGCGAACAATTTGGCACACCTCCATAGAGATTAAACGTAAAAGTTGTAGCAAATATCAACAGTGATGTTGCAACCATTATATCATATAAAATTTAGAAAAATAAAATTGCTCTTCATCAATCTTGACTCCAATAACGTCTATACTTCCTTACCAAAAAGTTCACATGAAGGACGCTATTTAATTTGTTCTGGTTGCTCCTACGCCTTCTCATAAATAATCTTCTAATGCACGTAGTTGCGGTTATTGAGCCAATTCCTATTTCCTTTGCTGTTGTTTTTTGGCAGCCTGTCAAATATTTTGAACAAAGATTACCACAAAGGCTAATCAATTACAAAGGAAGATTATCACAATTCTGGACCTGGGTTGGAAAGCAAGATTATCACAAAGGCTAATCAATTACAAATCGTTACCTGAACCAAAGCCCCGTATGACCCAGATCAGCAAGGTGGTTTGTCGGAAGTAGCAAAAACACCAAAAGGTCCTAAATGGAAGCAATTTTAGCGCCGCAAATCAGCGTCGATGAGAGGGGAAAGGCAGACCGAAGCAAATCCCATCTCTTTACGACCTGGGAATGAAAAACAGAGGAAAAGTCATATCAAGGCCAGCGTCTGTAGCAATAGGCGGCGGTTTCGGGATGATAATACGACGGTGGGAGAGAGGCAAAGGAGGGAACGATTGGCATGGAAGACTATTAAGTTTTCCAGATAGTGCAAAAAGAGGGAAAAGAAGTGATGGGGGTTAAGGGGTAAGTCGAGCGATTAAGAGATGGAATCTTGACGTCTTTTTGTTTTTTAGAAGAAGTAACTGTTTTCTAGGATATCGAGAGAGGAGGAGAAAAGAGAAGGGGATTTAGTTTGCAATTGGAATTCTAATCCGATTGGGAGGAGAGATAATGCAATGACGTGGCAGCGTGTATGAGAGTTAAATTTGAATTCGTGAAAGGCAGTTTGGGAAAACGCTTATAGTATTTTTTAGATTTTTACACACTAGCTTTTACTCTGTCCTTGACCGAATGAGTTTTGTTTTATCTTTTACATTGGTTAATTTATAAGTATATTTAAATTATATACATGGCCCGTTGGTCGGATGAATTTTATTTTATGCTGATCAATTTTTTCATGTTTTAAAATAATTTGAGGCTTTCTAAAATAGCTAATTCATTATTTTAAAGTAATCATTATGGTATTTATTGATTATAACATTAGCAATAATTAGTTAATATTTATTTTTTTATTAAGTCGTCCTAGTTTACTGTTTTGTATTTTTCCCCCTATATCTTATAAGAAATTTGTGAACTTTTTATTATCGGATATAAATTTGGAGTTGGAAAGAAATATATGTCATCTAGAATTGGTAGAAATTGAAGGTATATAAAAAAATTAAGAGAATAAAGAAAAGATTATGCCTCAAAATCTCGAATATGGAAGAATACGAAAAAATAATGCTTATTGTATAAATTATTATGATTTAGTGTATAGGCTTGTTTGAATAATAAGTGAGGGTTGTTAAGTGTTAGATACTAATGCACGTACCAAGTTAAAAGAATCCAAACATTATAAAAGTTTAAATTCTACTATACCCATATATCTTTGAATTTCCATGTGGAGTTAATAGCACTCTATTATCCATTTTTCTCAAATCTATCCCTCTATTATTTTTCAAATCAAACATGCCATTGTAATATATAGTATATAAGCATTATCAAATTAAAATTTAGCCCCTTTTATGGTTTATCTTCTCCATCTGCAACTCCCAATAATTAATAGCTACAGTCACATTCTGCATCTGTTCCGCATTCTCTTCCTTCGACCCAACAATAATTAAACGCAAAAACTTGTCTGTCACGAAAGAAACTTGCAGACCAACTTTTGAATTTCAACCACTCTCTGAAAATCCATAATTATTGATCGATTTGACTCAATCATCAAAATTGGAACACCAAATTTTTTAGAATATATGGATTGTAAAGATCAAAGGTTGTCAGCCCTGTTTAGCCCGTTGGCCCGGTCGATTAAGTGAGTTGAGGGTTAATGGTTCATTCCTTTTAGTCCGTTTTTGCCCGGATATATGAAGAAGTCATTATATTGTTCATATATTTATAAATTATATAAAATCTCATCTATATATGGATAACATTCTTCCTCACCCGAACTATCTACATTTGTTTCTCTATTTGCTACTTTCCGCTATCATCCTTCGAGCTCCTAAAAAGCACTGCACAACATGTATTCATCACGCGACGAAGGTCGCACTCCTATGACGCCAGTGTGTGTCAGATGTGAAACTAATGAGGAATGACCAAGTCAGAATCGAGCGTGGGGGTGCTTGCGAGGGAAGGCAATATGTGATGGAAGGCGAATTCTGATAGTAGTCTCTTTGTCTACAGAATTGACTCAATAGATTTAGCTTACCAATTAGCAGAGCAGGAGCTAGAACTGGAGCGTATAATCTTTGAAAATTATAATTTGAGTGCGCGAAAGAATGTGAATATTATATTATTTTAATTAATATATCATTTAACTTACTAACAATTTTTAGTCAAAATATTACAACAATGCAGTGAAAAAATTAAAATAAAATAACTTAGTAGGATAATAGTTTTAAATAATCCGATTAAGCCCGAAAAGGGAACATACTTCAAAAGTTAAATAGAAACCCACCAAAGTTTACGATACTATTTTTTGTTTTTTATTGAAGTTTTTAGTTTTATTTTTTTAAAAGGAAAAGAGAAATGAATGCATCGTTTATCCACCCGCATGCACTCAATTTGTTTATCCACCCCCTATGCATCATTTCTTCCACTTCGATTCTTTGTTTCCTAAGCCGACGCTGGAGATCTCCTGTATATGTACCAAATGGCAAATTCTATATCATCAGTCCTCTAATTAACCTCTTATCCTTTTATTTGGCCACAAGCCCGTGATTTGATGATCTATTTTACAGTCCCCATTTAAGAACTTGTGTTGTACCATTTTCGTCTTTGCTCTCCAAATCTTTGATGGCACCGTATGTATTCCTTTCTCCCACGAAGAAGCGAGCCATCGTCTTCGAGTCAAAGCTGTTGATTAGGCTATATCTTGTTTCATTTTACTTTGTATATAGAAAGAAAAATCTCTCAAATAAGTGATATATGCAATAAAATTTGCGAACTTTCAGTTTTGATGCTCTGATTTTTTAGTTTGAACTACAATTTCTGAGTTTTGGAAGTTTGTAGTTTCTGAAAAATAATTGTGAAGCAAAAATATCATTTCTACTTTCACTCTTGTTCTAGGAAATTTGAAATGAGACAACAATTTTCTCATTTTTGTATTATATAGAGTGTATATAAAGACATGTCCTTTCCCTAGAAATTCATTAGCACATTTGAAAAAGGTGAAATGAACCAAATTATTAAACTCCTAATGATTGTTGGATCCAATCATGTCAGAATAGGAGGAAGTTTATAATTTGACGGTTAGGCAAACTAAAATGTTCAAAGAATCAGTCCCATATAGTTTACACGAAGATATGAATACGATTGTATCATAGTAGATCTAATTTAAGAATTATACATCACTTTTACATATTCAATAATGCAATTCGATATGGAATATTCAAACCAGTGATATTTGGGTCGCGATTTTAAAGTTATCCTCTATTTATAAGATATATGTATAGGAATTTAATTAAGTATTAAACAATAATTAAAATGAGGAATTTGGGCTCTGTTAGTCACACAAAGTTTTAACTCAAATGCATATTTCTCTAATAATTTTGCTTCTTATTTGTATGAGATGAGGTCGACTGACTCTATGACTGTGCACCTGGAGAAAAATAAAATTTACTATTGCTAGATTATGATGGCGTTTGAGATGGTTTGGTCTTATATTGTAGGCTCTCGAATCTAAAGCAAGAAGAAGAGACGATGGGATAGTCGAACCTGGTCTGTGATGCTTCATGTTGTGGGGTTCTGTGATAAGTAAAAGGATGATATGACAGCATAGCTACATATATGAATTGTTGAAAACAACATCATTTTGAAGTGGCCCGTTGCTCGAATCAGTTGGTTAACTTGGTTTGATTTCCCGTTGAGATAGATAAACTTGACTTTGACCGAGCCCGAGTAGACAACCAACTGGGCCTTCGGCACCCGCTGAGATACTCAGGTTTAGGTAGAATTGGTTTGACCAGCAGAGTCATTCTCGAATTGACAATCATGGTCATGACTCTTGTTGTCTGTGTTTGAAGATACATTAGTGCAAATCCCAATACTTGTCTATTTTCTATACAAAATAAAGATAAATAATGGCGAAGACAAAAATGTCATTCATACTTTTGCTCTCGTTGTAGAAAATTTGAAATGGGACGACAATTTTATCATGCCAGTAGTATATATTGTGTAGAGTGTATATGTAGACATGTCCTTGCTCTATAATTCATTTTAATACATAAAAAAGAGGAAATAAACAACTTATTAAACTCAACCTCGTTTAATGATTGTTGAATCCAATCATGTCTATCAGATTAGGAAGATGTTTAGAAGTTAACGCTTAGCCTAGCTTAAACGTCCAAAGAACCCATCCCCATATTGTTTGCTGAAAGATATGGATATGATTGTCTCACGGTATTTCTATAAAGTAATACTAATGTAAGAGTTCAACATCGCTTCTACAAATTCGATATTGCAATTCGATATGTAATATTGAACCAATGATAAATAGAACTTTAGTGACCTTATAAGATAGATAGAAATTTATAAGATAAATAGAAATTAAAATTAAGTATCAAAGTATTATTAAAAGAATAAAATATGAATATCAAAGTATAAAAACACCTATAAGTACTGAGCGAAGATTTAGTTACCTTAGCTAACCGTTGAAAAGTTATGTTATTTTTGTAATGTTAGCTTCATGTATGGTTTTTATTTAAAATGGTGCAACTAATATATGTAGTTTGATTGGTTAAGATTCTTGTCATTGTTGAAAATGACCATGGTTCAAATCCTAGTATGCGTTTATTTTTTAAGGAATAAATGAGAAACAAATAAATCACTGTGAAGACAAAAATACACTTCCTACTTTCACTCTCGTTGCAGGAAAATTTGAGTGTAGAAAAAAAATCCAGCTATCTATATACTAGTTTATAACCCGGCCCGTTGGCCGAAATGTTCATATTTTATTATTTATATTTTTTGTTATATTTAAGTCTATCAACCTATTTAATTTTTTTTTACAATCCTTAGATCGAGATGATACGTAAAGAAAGAATATATAGGTCGAACACTCGAAGAAATACCATAA